CGAAATGCATTTTAATTGTTCTATACAATATATTGTCAAAAAAGAGCCATACCTTATTGTAGAGAATTATTAAAGACTTTGTACTTTAATTCTCATTCACTGGTATGATAAGCTCTGAAGTATATTTGTCTAATTGATATAGACTAAGAAAAATAAAATAACATTACGGGCTAAAAGTAATGGATTATTTAATTATGGTATCTATGCTTTAAATCAGGGGTGTCCGACCTTTTTGTTACTCTGGGCCACATTGGAAGAAGTCATGGAGTTTTGGGCCACAAGTATTAATATATTATATATACTTGTAGCCCAATCCTTAAATATACATGTATATTTAAGGATTAATGTATCTAGATTATAGTAATAAGTATTAAAACTTTATGACGAAAAAGAATATTTTGAAAAATTATTTCTACAGACACTTTCAATTTATACTTAGAAATAGATAAATTCATTTATTGTAAAGGAGACAAACAGAAATTTGTTTGAAAAACACAAATATTTGTTTTATTTGAGTCTTTAATTAATAAAAAAAACAACAAAACACCATTTTAAAGTGCATTTTTATTCGACTAATATATTTATAAATAATATGTAGCCCAAAAAGTAGCCAATGCGCCAATTGATATTTTTTACGCCAAACTAACAAAAGGGTAGCCAAATCTTGCAATGCTGGGAGGAATGCTAAATAAAGCTGGAGTTGGGACTCGAGGATTAGAAACCCAAATGAGGGGAAAAGAGAGAAAGGACAAAAGATAAAGTGAGTAAGGTTGGAAAATTAAGGGTCAATATCTGCATAACAGAAGGTCTATTTAACCTTTCTCACCACTTTATATCTTTTGGCCTTTCCTTTCCCCAAATTGGGACTATAATCTTTGAGTCTCAACTCCAGCTTTATTTAGTATTCCTTCCTCATTGACACATTTCCAAGTACAGTGAAAACTGCTTAGGCGACCACCTGCATTCGACGGGCAATAGCTATTGCCCGTTTAGGCAATAGCTATGTTTCTCGTGAAATAAATATATAATGTAAACTTTCATTATCATAAAATAAAATATAATTTAATTTATTTTTGGTATTTTGATGTATGACATCATATTAAAATGAATTTTTATTGCAATATCTGGTTAGGATTGATCAGTTGTTTTTATAGAATTCCTTAAACAAAATGATTGTTTGCAAGAAAAGCCATTAGTCCCTCTGCTTCAATAGCTTACAGTTTGCATCACTCTTGCTAAGGATATAATTTGTAATCTGGAATTTTTTGCATACCTTTTTAATATGTATTTAATTGCGGCTCGCGAAAAATTTCGAATTTTGAAAAATGGCTCGGACTATCAAGGAGTTTGGCCACCCTGGGTATATAATAAGTAAACTTGCATCAAGGAAGATTTTAGGCAAAAAAACAGTTGAGATGATATTAAAGTATTTTATATTTAAGAAGAGAAAAAAGTACAGGTATCCCTCATATTACACAGTAGTTACATTCTGAAAAAGTGCCATGTTATGTGAATCCATGCTATATGATGCGAAACAAAGGACTAGTACAAAACATAGGTTCCAAGATTTAACAAAAGTATACTATTCTTTTTTGTTACTAAGAGAAATATGTAAAGCAATCAATAATTTATTTCCAATAAATAACTAACTGACAATCACAATTAAGCATACAGTATTACATATTAATATTATTTTAAGTTAAACAAGAACTTTTTTTCCTACAAAGTGTCATCATCATCTGAGCTTTTTTGTCGATCTTGATCAGAAATATCAGCAACAACAACATTTTTTTTAATGTATGACAAAATGAAAACATGTTATTAATCAAAAATTAGTTCCAGCAGGTTGTGTTTGTTTTGTTGAGTAACAAGTGAATTTTTCCCCCCAGAATTTGTGTTTAAATTGTTGTTTGAGTTGGGAACAGTTCGATTACTGAGATACCACTGTATTTTGTTTGTCATTTTTATGAATGATTATTTACCTATGGTTAAAAAAAGTTCGATAACACTTACCTAAACATGTTTAAATAAACTTTATTAAATACGAAGATTAATCTATAAAAACAAAACACAGTGACAGTCTAAAGGGCTGAAGTCTGAAAGCAACGACAAGGACATCTGGTTGGAAAGCTAAGACAAGGGGAGAAAATTGCACTATCAGTTATCATTAAACCTGACAAAAGGCACAAAACAAATTGAAAACTTCAATACTATGAAATCCATGGGCAAATTTGAGACAACATTCATGCTTGCTTGAATAAAAAATAAAAAAAATCAAATAACAGAGTTTGCACTTAAAAGTTGTGAAATTTTGTACAGAGGATTCTTCAAATTCTCAAATCATGTTAGAGCAAAACTGGAAACCATGCTGTAGAAGTGCTATATTGTATGATGGATACCTGTATATGAAAGAGTTAATAACATGGTTTGTAAGCATTTTGAGTTATGTTTAGCATCATATTTTTAAAATTCAAATTAATGTTATTAACTTAATTGTGATCTTTATTCTGATTTTGAGATAGTTCCTAATTAGAATAGAACTTGACTAAATTTAGAAATCTACAGATTTATTAAAGTAAATGTTTTTGTAAATATTTCTCTAGCTTTAAAAGCAGTAAATTTATGTTGAATTTAAATGAAATATTGAAGTTTTATTTATATTTGATATGTTACTGAAATATTGAATCGAATACTTACTATTAATTGTAAGCCTGGGAAAGACTCTTCATGGTCATTTTAATATTTAACTATTTGATAATAGCTCAATAATAACTGGTTATTATTAGGTTGTTATTAATAGTTAATATTTAATGATTTTATTATAATGTGATTTGAAAAACTAGTCTTGTATGAATTATATTATTGATATATATTTCTGACATGTTCAAACATTACTTTGTATAAACAGTATAACCATAATAATTGCTTTTTTCCTCAAAATTGCTATCAAAATTTTTACTGAAGTAATGTAAAAATTAATAAAAATATGTAAAAAATTGGTAAAACTTCAACATCTAATATTGTTAGCAAAAAAGTAAATGTTTTCAGAAAGATCAAGGAAAAGATTGTTAAATTTTGCCAATGTTTAAGATTTAAAAAATGTTTATTACCAATGTTTAAGATTTAAAAAATGCAAGATTCTGAAAATATTACTTCAGTTACATATATAGCAAATAGCAATTCTGTTGATGTTATTAAATTGTAATGAAGCTAACTAGCTAGTTTTATTATGATTTTAGTATCATTAGAACTATCATTTTCCAGTGTGTCTTCGGTTTAATTTAAATACTTTATTATAATAGTATAAATTATTTCAACTAAAGTTAATTTTCAGTTTTAAAATTATTATTATTATTATTATTCAGACTTTTTCATTCAGCATTTGTAATTATAGTTCTGCTACTAAGATGTTTACTGTATGTAAAGATATAAAGTTAATAAGTATGAAAAATTTTTTGATTTATGTATTGTTGTATCTTACAACTCGCATTCAAACTCAAATAAACTTGCATCAACTTTTGTCAATACAGAATAATTATTATACAATCAAAATGTATTCAAGAGTAAAACTTATTTTTACTGCAATTTTGTTCAGTAAATATAAATTTTAACTACTCCAGCTGGTACATAACCCACACAAAAATTGCTAAAATGGAAATAAAACTTTTGCATAACTTGATGTGTTGTGTGTATCTTACACTTCTGAACATTTGCTGGTAAAAAAACTATTTAATATGACAGGGATGGCCAACCTGCGGCTCGCGAGCCACATGTGGCTCTTTGAAGGATTATTTGTGGCTCTCGATAAATGTACCCGAGTTCCCTTTTCATTTTTGTGTTATTATATTTTTAAAAATTATTATCGTTCCGTATGTGTTTCAAAATGTCTTTTAAATTACTAACAACAAATATGAAAGACTAAGTGCAACGTTGTAACAAATTTCATTTCCGTCCAAGTTAAGAATGATATGACTCATCGAAAACTGCGCGAACGAACATAAACAGTGGCGTAATCGTCCGTTATCGACCGACTCCAGACCGATTTTGAATTTGTAAACTGTCATTGCAATGGACAGTTGACATTGTGCTCTGGAGGAAACAATTTGTATCACTCTTGCTACAGATATAATTTGTAATCTGGAATTTTTTGCATACCTTTTTAATACGTATTTAATTGCAGCTCGTGAAAAATTTCAAATTTTGAAAAATGGCTCGGACTATCAAGGAGCTTGGCCACCCCGGTAATATGATGATACATGATACACATGCCATTGTAATCATAATATATCATAATAATGATATATATCATGTACGTCATACAATACTAGAACATATTACTTACAATACCTACCTTAAAATATAAACTATTAATATGTATAATTATTCAACAGTGGTATTTGTTAGTATAGAGAGATTTGAGTTTGAACACATTATATCAAATACATCTATAGATTTTTTTTAAATTTTACAAGTTATTTGATATATAACACTGTTTTAACTCATACTAATAATATATATTTAAAGTTATCATTAGTGAGAAATTGAATAAATTTGTTGAAGTTTAATATTATAAAATTTTATTCTATACAAATTAGTAAATTATTATATATAAATGTAATAGCTATGTTAACAATTTGATAATTTTTTCAAATAATTATAAAAAATTATACATATACATATACCAGACATTTGTTAATAAATTCTGTAATGTCATAATCATTATTCAGTTTCAAATAGAAAAAATAATAATTTTGTAAACACAAAATCATCATCATCATGCTGTTATTCAGTTATGATATTTAATTTTAAGTTAGGAATAATATCAAAATTAACAAAAACTGATTCAGAAAAATTTAGAAACAAAATTTCAGAGATATAATGAAATTTCTATGATGATAAACTTATGGATTGCTCTAAATTCAAAAGTAATCATTTTAAAACAATGTATATTTGTACGTCATTGTATTGCGGTAGAAACTTCTTTCATGTTCTCTTTTCAGTTAGTACTGCACCTAGAGAATTTCGAGGTCCCAATCCTAATACAAAAATGTCTCGAAACAAAAAGAAAAAATTACGTAAAAAAGCTAAACGTCAACAAGAATTGTTGGAAATGCAGATGCAACAACTAGAAGAATTAGAAATGGAAGAACATTTACAGGTATGAATATTTATTATCTGATATTTGATTGTAATTTCATTATTATTAGCAAGAAAATAATTAATAATTTATTATAGAATAAAATGCATGAAACAGAAGATAGAGATGATGATGAAGAAACAACTCCAGAGGAGGATAGAAGGTTTAATGGTAGTTCTGATACAAAAAATCCTGGTCACAAAGGCAAGATAAAATTGCAGAATTTTTTGAAATATTTTATATTAGGATAGATTTTTCTATTTAATAGAATAATTTATCTCATATTTCATATTTATTAAAATTCTATTAGATTAATTTCTTAAGTTTATAATTTTTGTATTTGACTGTAGTATTTACTATTTTTTTCTTAAATTTCAATTGCTGTGATTTTTCATATTTAATTTTAAATTTTTAAATGTTTAATTTTTTATTTTTACATTTTTGAATATCACTCATATTTATTTGATTGAATTATGTAAGAATAAGTCCTGATTTCCTTTATATGCAACAAAATTAATGATAATCTTCTAATTATTTATTTATTACAAATTAATATTTGTATAGCATCAATATATTAGACATTTCATTTTGATTGATAGATTATGCTTCTGTTTTTGCAAACTTAAATATTTAATTTGTATGGGTTGACATTGATATCATTGATAAACTGTTGGATATTGGGCTGCTGCCTCTATACTATCAATATGTTGTCTATGTATCTTGTGTATAGGACAATGTTTTCATCATATTTAGGTAATGCCCTGGTTTCCAAATATCTGAATATCATCTTGCAGTGTATCCTGGAGAGGGGGTTTCCCACGAGGACCCCTCTGTTTTGTATGTACAGTACGTATTGCCATTGAATGCAAAAAAACGAAGAAAATGTTGTCAAGTGTGCTAATTCTAGTATTTCAGCATGCAATTTCACCAAACGGCTCATTTCTCTCAGAAGAAAATCCTCTAGGTGGCAGAAACAGGGCTCTAATTTGATTGACAGGTACATTGCTTGGAAGTTGAGAACTGTAATATACTATTCTTTGTATAGTTTTACTTGTTGGAGTTTCTGGATAAGTTCTAACGGTTGTGTAATACTATATTTGTGGTCAAGGCAGATGGTTTTTCATATTTTGCATTCAACGGCAATATGTACATACAAAACAGAGGGGTTCCCATGGAAAGCCCCTTCTCCTGGACACACTGCAAGATGGTACTCAGATCTTTGGAAAGGGCATTTACCTAAATTTGATGAAAACATTGGATGATATTCAAATATTTAATTATTTATAAGAATAACAATTTTAGTAATAATAATTTATTATTTATTCTCATTTAACAATATATGTATATATTGGGCTCAGCTGAAATTAACAATGATTTTTAATTTTTAAGATTAAAAAATTTAAATGATTCTGCAAGTTATTTTCAAATATTTGAGTTATATTATTTTTCTATCTATCTCCCACATTTTATTGCATCTTGTAGCAACATAATATTAACAAGAAGAGTGAATAAAAAAATTTCAATGAATAATGTTTTCAGCTAAAAAGTATATAAACATATTTCTTTTTTTATGTACATAAAAGTTTTGTTTCAATTAGCTAATCTATGAAATAAATATATAATGTTTCTCGTGAAATAAATATATAATGTAAACTTTCATTATCATAAAATAAAATATAATTTAATTTATTTTTGGTATTTTGATGTATGACATCATATTAAAATGAATTTTTATTGCAATATCTGGTTAGGATTGATCAGTTGTTTTTATAGAATTCCTTAAACAAAATGATTGTTTGCAAGAAAAGCCATTAGTCCCTTTAGTCCCAAATAACAATTGCATTGTGACAAAATTATTCCTCAGAAAAGAAAGCAATTGTTTTTATTGAAAAGTTAGTTGGTTGTAAATTAAAAGGAAAAGAGTTTTGCTTTATAAACAGTAGTTCAGTAACAATTAAGTTCTTTGTTCTGACTGAATTGTTATCATGAGATAACTTACAACACATTCAGGAAAATTTTAGTGACAAATTATTTTACAACACTATTAGAATTTTTAAAAAATTATAACTGCTTAAGATCTATTGATATTCATAATTAAATCTAACTATAACAGAATAGTTAGTATAGGCTGAGGAGTTAGTTTTCCTTTTGACTTAAAATATTATCTAACATATACATATACCAGACATTTGTTAATAAATTCTGTAATGTCATAATCATTATTCAGTTTCAAATAGAAAAAATAATAATTTTGTAAACACAAAATCATCATCATCATGCTGTTATTCAGTTATGATATTTAATTTTAAGTTAGGAATAATATCAAAATTAACAAAAACTGATTCAGAAAAATTTAGAAACAAAATTTCAGAGATATAATGAAATTTCTATGATGATAAACTTATGGATTGCTCTAAATTCAAAAGTAATCATTTTAAAACAATGTATATTTGTACGTCATTGTATTGCGGTAGAAACTTCTTTCATGTTCTCTTTTCAGTTAGTACTGCACCTAGAGAATTTCGAGGTCCCAATCCTAATACAAAAATGTCTCGAAACAAAAAGAAAAAATTACGTAAAAAAGCTAAACGTCAACAAGAATTGTTGGAAATGCAGATGCAACAACTAGAAGAATTAGAAATGGAAGAACATTTACAGGTATGAATATTTATTATCTGATATTTGATTGTAATTTCATTATTATTAGCAAGAAAATAATTAATAATTTATTATAGAATAAAATGCATGAAACAGAAGATAGAGCTCTTCATGGTCATTTTAATATTTAACTATTTGATAATAGCTCAATAATAACTGGTTATTATTAGGTTGTTATTAATAGTTAATATTTAATGATTTTATTATAATGTGATTTGAAAAACTAGTCTTGTATGAATTATATTATTGATATATATTTCTGACATGTTCAAACATTACTTTGTATAAACAGTATAACCATAATAATTGCTTTTTTCCTCAAAATTGCTATCAAAATTTTTACTGAAGTAATGTAAAAATTAATAAAAATATGTAAAAAATTTGGTAAAACTTCAACATCTAATATTGTTAGCAAAAAAGTAAATGTTTTCAGAAAGATCAAGGAAAAGATTGTTAAATTTTGCCAATGTTTAAGATTTAAAAAATGTTTATTACCAATGTTTAAGATTTAAAAAATGCAAGATTCTGAAAATATTGCTTCAGTTACATATATAGCAAATAGCAATTCTGTTGATGTTATTAAATTGTAATGAAGCTAACTAGCTAGTTTTATTATGATTTTAGTATCATTAGAACTATCATTTTCCAGTGTGTCTTCGGTTTAATTTAAATACTTTATTATAATAGTATAAATTATTTCAACTAAAGTTAATTTTCAGTTTTAAAATTATTATTATTATTATTATTCAGACTTTTTCATTCAGCATTTGTAATTATAGTTCTGCTACTAAGATGTTTACTGTATGTAAAGATATAAAGTTAATAAGTATGAAAAATTTTTTGATTTATGTATTGTTGTATCTTACAACTCGCATTCAAACTCAAATAAACTTGCATCAACTTTTGTCAATACAGAATAATTATTATACAATCAAAATGTATTCAAGAGTAAAACTTATTTTTACTGCAATTTTGTTCAGTAAATATAAATTTTAACTACTCCAGCTGGTACATAACCCACACAAAAATTGCTAAAATGGAAATAAAACTTTTGCATAACTTGATGTGTTGTGTGTATCTTACACTTCTGAACATTTGCTGGTAAAAAAACTATTTAATATGACAGGGATGGCCAACCTGCGGCTCGCGAGCCACATGTGGCTCTTTGAAGGATTATTTGTGGCTCTCGATAAATGTACCCGAGTTCCCTTTTCATTTTTGTGTTATTATATTTTTAAAAATTATTATCGTTCCGTATGTGTTTCAAAATGTCTTTTAAATTACTAACAACAAATATGAAAGACTAAGTGCAACNCCCCTTCTCCTGGACACACTGCAAGATGGTACTCAGATCTTTGGAAAGGGCATTTACCTAAATTTGATGAAAACATTGGATGATATTCAAATATTTAATTATTTATAAGAATAACAATTTTAGTAATAATAATTTATTATTTATTCTCATTTAACAATATATGTATATATTGGGCTCAGCTGAAATTAACAATGATTTTTAATTTTTAAGATTAAAAAATTTAAATGATTCTGCAAGTTATTTTCAAATATTTGAGTTATATTATTTTTCTATCTATCTCCCACATTTTATTGCATCTTGTAGCAACATAATATTAACAAGAAGAGTGAATAAAAAAAATTTCAATGAATAATGTTTTCAGCTAAAAAGTATATAAACATATTTCTTTTTTTATGTACATAAAAGTTTTGTTTCAATTAGCTAATCTATGAAATAAATATATAATGTTTCTCGTGAAATAAATATATAATGTAAACTTTCATTATCATAAAATAAAATATAATTTAATTTATTTTTGGTATTTTGATGTATGACATCATATTAAAATGAATTTTTATTGCAATATCTGGTTAGGATTGATCAGTTGTTTTTATAGAATTCCTTAAACAAAATGATTGTTTGCAAGAAAAGCCATTAGTCCCTTTAGTCCCAAATAACAATTGCATTGTGACAAAATTATTCCTCAGAAAAGAAAGCAATTGTTTTTATTGAAAAGTTAGTTGGTTGTAAATTAAAAGGAAAAGAGTTTTGCTTTATAAACAGTAGTTCAGTAACAATTAAGTTCTTTGTTCTGACTGAATTGTTATCATGAGATAACTTACAACACATTCAGGAAAATTTTAGTGACAAATTATTTTACAACACTATTAGAATTTTTAAAAAATTATAACTGCTTAAGATCTATTGATATTCATAATTAAATCTAACTATAACAGAATAGTTAGTATAGGCTGAGGAGTTAGTTTTCCTTTTGACTTAAAATATTATCTAAAGACTGGCTCATACCTTGAGAATGAAAAAGAAGAGAAAATGACATTAAACTGATTTAATGTGCAACTCCTTGAATATTATTCATGACATACTTTCATAGTCTTTTTGTTTGTGAGAAAACTAGAAGAAAGTTTTATTATTCTCTGCTTCATAGCTTACAATTCTTTGTGCTGCTAATTAAGATGATAAAACAGAAATGTTTGTTGACATTTTTATGCATTATCTGTGTATTTTGGACAAT